ATAACGGGACTATTTGCAAGACACTAGCAACTGTTGCTATTTCTAAGGGATACTGTTGTTTAGCTACAGGGAAGGAAGGAGAAAAACTGTGGTTCACTGAATCCAAGTGAAGGAGAAGGAAATGTTGACCCATGAAATTTGGTACATCTTTCCTCAACTAAGTTAACAATCCCACTGTAAAAATGGTCTAGTCTCTGATTCTCTGACTCTCTTCTCCCTCTGACCCCTTTCTTCCTCCCTCACCTTTCTCCCTCCCCTCTTCCTCACGGGTCTGGCCAGCCTCCTCTTTCTCTCTGTCCCCTCTTTCCCTCCCTCCACTTCCTTCTCAATTCCCCTTCCCATGCCCCCAAATGAACTCTATTCTACCTTGGGAGGGTGCCTCATCATTGGCCCGATGAGGCCCCACCTCCTACGGCACCATACCTTGCTCTACAAAACACATCCCTGGTTTTATCAAACACATCAATTTCTATAAAACAAATGTTAAAAGATTACAGCTCGCTGGGCAGTGGTGGCGCATGCCTTTAATCCCAGTACTTGGGAGGCAGAGGCAGGCGGATTTCTGAGTTCGAGGCCAGCCTGGTCTACAGCGTGAGTTCCAGGACAGCCAGGGCTACACAGAGAAACCCTGTCTCAAAAAACCAAAAAAAAAAAAAAAAAACCACACACACACACACAAAGATTACAGCGCATGGAAATAAGACAAACACAATTGCAATAAATTGAGTAAAAATCAAGAAAGAAGATGAAATGTTGTTGTTTTTATAAATATGACTCTACATAGGAAAGAAACAGAATACGGAAAAAATGGTCTACATAGAGATAATATTAAAAAAAAAACTGGGAAGTTTCAAATCAGAATGTTAATATAACAAAGACTCTTGCTCAATGTGACCCAAAATTTAACCTTCATCCTATCTCAAGTGTAAAGCTCTGATTGGAAAACTTTTAGGGACAAAAATGGGAACTTTATTTTTATCTCTCCCAAGATCCACCTTGAGATTTCTTTGGCCCTTGGGCTATAGGTGGTGGCACACACCTTTAGCTCCTCTTGGTAGGTGACTGAGAATCAGGCTAGCCTGGTCTACATAGCAAACTCCTGGTTTTGTGTTTGGTGCCTGAGGGGTCAGAAGAGGACATCAGATCCTCTACAACTGGCCTACTTGGTTGCGAGCCACCATGCCGGGGACATAACCCAGATTCTCTGAAAGAATAACAAATGCTCTCAAGTACTTAGCCATCTCTCTGGGTCCCTACATTTTTTTATCTTATCAACCAGTCCCCCTGTTCAAAAACTACCTTTTGCCATCATTTATTAAAGAAAATTTCCTTAGATAAGAATAATTCCTTAACACCCCAGCCCTTCCTTCTATTCCCCACCCCACTCTTTTTCTGTTTCCACGTGTTCCTGGCCAGCCTCTTTTTCCTTCCGTGCCCCTTTCTAAGACTCTACCCCGTATCTGGGTCTCTCCTCCCTTTCCCCACAATAAACTTTCTTATATCAAAAAAAATAATTCCTTAAATACTTCTTCTTTAGATAAGAATAATTTAGCCAGGCGTGGGGCACGACTTGAAGTTCAGCACTGGGGAGGGAGAGGTAGCCGGGTCTCTGTGAGTTCCAGGCTAGCCAGGACTATGTATGGTGAGACCCCATAACAAAACAACAAAACAGTAACTATATTTTGGCTGCTCCTTGCTTGTAATCTCTGTACATGGAAGGATCAGAAGATCAAGGTTCTTTATAGTTCCAGGCCAGTGTGGATTACAGGAGACCCAGTCTCAGAAAACCAGAGTCTTAGAACTCCCTGTGCTGTGTCCTGGCTTGCTAATGGGAGGCTTCTCAGCCCTGTGCCCCCAGAGCCTTGCTACGTCTTCTCTGTGGTCTGTACCTTCCTAAATCAGGACCAATGACAGAAGGAGGTCTTTGAGAAGCACATAGCACTCTCCCGTGTCTTTCTTTCCGAGTACCTTTCTTTCTCTTAACCTTCATGCTTTTAGCCTATAATAAAATATTTTTATCAACTCCCAAATCTGCAAGATAATAACAACAATGAGGCTTTGTGTTTAAAGCATAGAGGGAGATCTATTCCCTGAAACTAGAGATTGGAAACCCTCTCCTGGTTCCATACTCGGGATCCATACTTTCTCTCTCTCTCTCTCTCTCTCTCTCTCCTTCCCTCTCTCTCTCTCT